AAGGTTTAGAACTGGATATGACTAAAAGGATTAAACAATTGTCGAGGACAATCTAAGGTTTACCAAAGATTGGTTGCTCAAGGACAGTTGGAAGTATAGTGATAATTCTGGAAGGACCATATTGACATAATCTGTAAGGAGGCAACTCTTGTTCAGAAGTGATAGTCAAAATGGAATCTGGAAATGTTTCAAAGTTAGAATTTTCAATCTGTTAAGATTAGGAAACTTAATGCAAGAAGGATGTTTCCAAGGAGCTGATCTCCTTTGGAATGCTCTGTAATGATTGTTGTCAAGTCTTTTGACTTTGTGCATAATCATTACAAGAGGATCAATGCATATAAGTTTAGAATCTAACAGATTTCAGTAAATGACATGAATTTGGAATTCTTGCATTTGCAGTAAGGATTTGGGAGTGTGAAAAGAGAATCATTGAAGTTATGTTCAATTGATCTAGTTCACAAAGTAAAGATCATAGACAAACATAGTATGCATACTTGGTGTATGGCATGACTAGTGTTTAGAAAACATAGTGTACATGCTTGGAGCATGGGACAACTATTGTTTTAAATTCAAGAATAAAGTTGATAGCTGAAACAGTATACAATGAATAATGTGTAATCATATGGTGATAAATAAAAGGTGTTTTATTTATGTTCATAGGTTTTGATACCATATTGGATTCAATTATTATTGTGTTTCATTTTGCATGTTTTGACTTCCGAATAAACTAGGTTATTCTTCCGGAATGACTAAGTTATTCAAACCATCCACAGTCGGTCATATGTTGGAAGTAGATATGAATTAAGACTGTCATGGGTTGGCTTGTAGAGGTCTAAGGTGTTGGACAAAGGGCTACAACACTCATGAGTGCTCATAAGTTCTGAGTATTGGATTCAACCCGCGCTCATTGGAATCACTTCATGGATTTTATCACGAGTGATCATGAGACGATAATATCTTATATTCTTCAAACCTAGAGATATGAGTTGTTACTATGAGTTGGTTGTACATTGATTGCACGAAACGCATTTGGTAACTCGGTGCTATAAAACGTGCCTTTGTGTATGATTCAACAAGTAGTAGAACAAGCCATATGAGTCGAAGTTTATCCATTCCTTTTACCTTCGGGATAAAAGCGATATCTGTGGGCCCCTCGATGATTTGATGATGACAAATGGAAGTGCTCGGCGGGCCAGGACTGATTTGATTTGTTCAATTAGTCAGTCGTCATAAATCGGAAATCGGGAAACAACAAATGGACAGAGAGAATGATTATAATCCATGTCTCAGTCCATATGATATCTAGAATGGAGGAATATATGATCCCTTATCTAATGGACAAGTCATTGACAAAGGTCAGCGTTTATCGACAAGGTCAGAGTTCGACAGAAGCTTTTGAGAGCTACGATTGCCAGTTGGTTCCTGAAGTCATACGCAATAATAGTTTTAGACTTATCCAAGTGGGAGACTGTTGGATTAATGTCTAAGTCCATAACTATAATTGGTAAGACTTGACCCGACCCGGCATGGTCCATTTGGGTTGCATGGCATCATGCACTTGGATAGACTAAATGAGAGAAATAAGACACTTATGGTTATTAATATATTATAAGTTCTAGTATATTAATAATAAGAATAATAAGATTATTTAATTAGTATTGATCAAGAATTAATCTAGGATTAATTAAGTGATCAAAAGAAGACTAATTAAATATATGGGTTGATTGTGTAAATCATCCATACTTGTATAGTGGGCTAATGCTCCATGGATTATCTAGTTGGGCCAAAACCCATATGATGCTCCATGGATGCTCCATGGTGTATTTGAACCCATGGATCCAAGGAAATGGAAAGTCATGACAATTAGAGTTTACTCTAATTGTATAACTATATAAGCATCTTATTCTTGAGGAAAATCGACCACTAGTGAGAGTAAGAAAGGGCTAGCCGATTTTCATGAAGTGTAGAATTCTCTCAAGTTATTCCAAGTGTATTTGGTGTTGTGTGAACCATTTGAGGTGTCACACTTGGGGCACTAGGCACTCAAGCTTCATGAAGACTTTCTACATGAAAAAGGTATGTATTCTATCTTGTTATATCCATTGTTTTGTATGCTAGATTAGGATAATACCTTGGATGTTCATATTTGCATGTATAATAGAGAAAACATAGATCCAAGGTATTTAGGGTTGCATGTACACTTAGGAGTGTTAGAATGCTCATAACCTTACAGTAATCCCTTTCGGTTTATTTCAAATGGATACCGGGTCTATTTCACCTCTTACCACTACCATATAACATCATAACAAAGAATCACAAAGTCATCAAGCAAACACATGTGTAAGTGACAGTTGTCACGAAGTAAACCATCATACTACAACATAGACTAGTAGGCCGGTATTGGTGGCTTCGACCCACAGATATAGTGAAGGAAGCTCACCCTAACACTGAAGACAGCTAAATCTCGCACTCGAACTGCTGGAACTAGACTCCGCCTAATAACACAATAATTAACACTAATTAATAATTAAGGTTCATTACTTAACTCGCGAGTCCAAGTCCCATGACTAAACCCCTTAAGGGTAAAAAGACCATTTTGCCCCTAATATTGTCTAAAACCCTAAATTTTGACCAAAAGTCCAAAAGTCAATAAAAGTCCACTGCCCAACGTGTACGCTGGGTGTACTCTCTTCCTACGCGAGGCGTACTCAGAAATCAGGTGGGATCGAGGTCTTACCTGGCTACGTTGGACGTAGCCAGTAGTATACGGGGAGTACTCCATCTAACCCCAAAAACCATACCAAAATGGTCTTAATCATTAAGACATGTAGCATATATGACCTTCTTAGAATGTCTTTGATGTGTGTAAAACCAACTAGTTTTAATCCTACTAACTTAAACACAAAGACAAACACACGAAAGGCAGTGTACCTATCGATTAGTAGTTTAGTTCAGGTAAGTAGGGTATCGAACACAGGGAACGGTAAACAATTAAAATAGATGCTAATATTATCTAAATAAAACAAGTAATAGAAAGGGGGTTTCTCTAGTTTTGAAAGACTAGAAACTTAAACAATTAACTAAAACTTAAACCAAGAAACTAAGAGCTAAGCAAATAAAAATCAACTAAATTCAATAATAAAGAGGACTTTTGTTTAGGTTCGACTCATTTGTTCCCATGGATGATTTCAATGTATCAGATTAATTCTTCATTGGCTACCGACTAAGATGATTAGTTTCACGTTTGCTATTACTAATCCTTAGGAAACAAATTAACTCAAGCAGTGGCCAGTTGTCTAAATTAACGAATTTCCTAGTTTGTTGATTCGGGTTTAGAAAGACTTGTAATTAGATAATCAATTTGGTTATTCAATTAACCTCTTGTTGATGGTGTATCACACAAGCTCACACATTAACTTACCTATCTTCTAGTTAATTCTAGTTTCACATTCGTTATTCCTAGACATACAACTATGTGGTCACGTAAATCATATGAAATTAGCAACTAAGAGATGTTCATACAACTTAATTACTGATTTATTAATAGAAAAATAGTTATTGTTAACACATAAGGTTCTTTAAACAAGCTTAATAAAACATAATCACCAATTAAAATTAATCCTAATCAAATAATCAATCCATGCTCACAAATTCATCTACCTAAACAGAAGTTATGAGTTTTTAGCTCATAATTACAGCAGAAACAAGCTCAAAAACGAAATCAATTGGTAAAAACATAGTTCAAAAAAGAGATTAGGTAAGAGTAAACTTGATTTTGACTTGATTCTCCTTAAAATTGAATGTAGGGTTGATTCCCTTGCTTCCCACGCTCTAGCAGCACCTTTAGTCGACAATTGGCCTCCAAGGGTTCATCTATCTGCTAGGGTATCGATCTGAAAGTCCCTTTATATAGATTTTCACAAAACAGGGGATACTCGGTGAGTCCAGTGACCTACTTGGCGAGTCCATCACTTAAAACCCGTGTGCGGCAAGTCAGCGCGTCCAGAATCGCGAAACTTCTGACCAACTCGGCGAGTAATCGACCCTACTCGCCGAGTACGTTTCGAATCAACATTTTCTCAAAACACGAAAGTCGTCCGAAATTGTGTCCACTTTTCAGAACATTTTGAATCTCGTCAATCGGAGTTACGGTTCATGAGATATGGCCAAAACACTGATGAGGGGTCAAGCTGTCCAACAACATCCTTCTTTCTTCAAAATCCAAGATCCAAGCATCCAATCGCTAGTTCCGCTTCCTTTTCCTTCCGAGCATATCATCATTGCTGAAAAATGAAATTCTAAACTAACTAAGCACCTTTTTTTCATTAAATGAGATAAAATCAACATAAAGTATTAAGATAATGCATGAAGTTTATAACTAAATATGCCCATATCAGTCTTAATCCGTAAAGTCTAAAACTCTAAACCTTTGTATGGCTGAAAATGGATTGAACCTTAAAACTCTAACTGAATCCACACTCATCACCACCGAACTCTTGCATGGTTAGAAAAGGACCACCAAGCAACCATTTTTATGAATCTACAAGATGTAGCATGCATGAAAGGACAACTAATATGCCATGGAGTGTTCCAAACTCTTAAAGTTCCAAACTTTGGGACAAAAAGCTCATAAAACCCAACTATTGAGATAAAAAAAGGAAAGACATCAAGGTATAGACTATATACCTTCAAAATATGCACAAGGAAGGTTTCTGGATTTATAAGCTTACAAGCAACACCTCCTTCTTCAATGGTCTTCTTCTTTAACAAATGATCACCAAAAGTCACTAATAAGCTCCAAACTCTCACCAAAAGTGCAATCAACCTGAGCCATTTCCCTCGACAACAAAACTATCTGAAAAACATTTAACTTTAAAACATAAGCATAGAGCTTATTAAGTTCCCTAAAATACAATATATATATATATATATATATATATATATATATATATATATATCATTGTAAAAACTATATATATCTGCATTGGGCAACACCGATCATGTCATCATTCAAACGGACATGTAGGCTCACGACACAACACTGCCATCGACATCATCCAAATGGACCCGCAGGCTCGCAATACATCACCAATATCGCTATCATCCAAATGGACATGTAAGTCATCCCACAACACTGGTATTGTCATCATCCAAACGGACTTGTATGCTCATAACACAACACCGATATCAAAACATCATCCCATTCTAAGCATACAAACAAACAGACAAGAGTTCACTAGTCTACATACAGTAGATCCAATAACGACATAAATAATGTAATGAGAAAACTCACATGAATATGAAAAGATGAAACCACACACTCACACAAGCCCACAAATGAATTAGATACATCACCACCTAGTAAAATAAAGGTCAAACCTCGGTCTGCAATTTAAATCCTCAAAGTTTAAACCAAAAGTCAACGATCAATTAGTCAAAGTCATCATTCATTGGTCAACGATCGATGCATTGTGACCTAGCTGTTGGTTGCGTCGTGATCACATTGCAACAAAACAGTCACGATTCTCTTCCTAAACTCGTGTTGTGACCCTTCCTTTGTCATGTCATGCTTTTCGAGGCATAAGCCTTTTTCTTAATAAGCACTTAATCCCTTCAAATTAAGGCTTATACTATTAAATCTAAATCTCACATGGGACTTAATGGATAATATTTCCAACTTTTATCCAAATCTATACCTAATTAAACTTAGACTCAAACACTAATACGTAAATGGTCCAAAATGACTAAGAACTCATGTATAGCTCACAGGGAGCCCATGCATGCCCTTTTTTTTTGTCATCATAAGTCCAAAAATCATCTTAATGCACTTTATAGGGTTTTGGAGTTGCTTAAACTCTAAGAACATCCATAAAAAGAACCAAAAGAGACATATATACAAGATTTATGAACTAAAAATCATAAAGGTGGAAGCTTTATATATTCCAAGGGTTAAAAAGTAAACAAAGAGGTTGGATCTTCTTTGGTAATGCACCTTCTTGCACCAAAACTCAATACTCCTAATTCAAAGATCACACCAAAGGTGTAAGGACCTTCAAACTCACTTAAGAACACTCTCAGGGGATATGGTTTGTTCTATGGGAGATGGAGGTTGTGAAATGACAAACCATGGTGTTAGTGTATTTATATAGGATCCAAGGCTTGAAATTAGGGTTAGGGTTGATGGTGGCTACGCATTACAACCAATAGATAGTCATGTCGCGACTTAATGATGTGACACACGCCGTGATCACCAAGTCATCGCACTGTGGTCCTTTTAAAATCCTTCCAAACATAACTTAAGGGAAGAACAACTTGACAATTAACATACCAAAAAACCAAGTGTTACCAACTTCGATATTGGCCTTAGAACTTGAATATGAACATGGCCAGTGACTCCTACCACCCTTTCTATACCTTTATTTTTCTACCATGCAACTCCAATTATCATGTTTTACTCCTACCACTATTTCTCTACATTTCTTTCTCTCCCATGCAACTTTGATTACCCTTTCTTTCTCCCCTGCAACTCCAATCTCTTATTTTGATTTAAATTAGGGTTTTCACTTTCATTTTTTAGTTTGATGATTTATATGATAAAATTTTCATTTGATTCCAATGTTTGGTTTGTGATTTAAATTTAATGTTGGTGATGGTATTAACAGTGTCGATGGTTGGTGGATGATGGTGATGGTGGTGGCAACCGACGACAATGGTGGTTGGTGTGGTGAGTCCAACGACGATATTGGCGGAGTGGTGACAACAATAATGGTATAATATGGTTATGGTGATGATATAGGGATTAATTAGTTTAGTAATAATACTAGTTAAAAAAAAAAGAAAAAAACAAAATAAGGAAAAGGCACAAATATGATATTTTAGTTATTTCGTGCGCACTTAACGAAATAACATTGACGAGAAATGTGATACGGATGGGGACCAAACCTGAAAGATTTGCCGACTATTAGAAATGTCAAATTTTATAAAACTAAGATCTAACCTACAAAAAATATATACCTCACGGACCAAATAGGTAATTTACTAAAAATTCTTATATCATGTTTTTTGTTCGGTCAAAGTTGGAGGATATATTTTGGAAAAGGAAAAAACATGACACGGGCTATGGTCCAAGAGTCCAACTTATATGAAGCGAGCGTCGGTCGCACGTATGAACAATCGTTCTCCCACGTGCGACGCCACTCTGTGCTAATTGGTGACGCTGATGCTCTGCCCCATATTTATGTCTAGAGCATCTTCTCTCTCCCCTTCATGATCACACACACACACACTCCTTTTTCTATTAGGGGTTTCTCTACTTTACAGCTCAAACTTCCGGCTTCTACTTGCTCAACTCCTCAATTGCAGATCCAAAAAACGGTGACTATCAGTTCTATACTGATTAAATTTGCTTTTTATCGGCTTAATTTCAGTAGTGATACATGTAATTTACTTGAATGAAGCAAAAGTAGCTCCAGTTATAGCTGCCTTACTAGCCTTCTGATTGTATCTAGCCACAATGATGATTTCTGATTTGCTAATAGTGGAGAACGTTTGAATGTCTTTATAAATTACACAGTCATTTTAGGGGTTTTTGCATATGGGTTTAATACCAAAGGGGTGATGGTAATCATCAGAATAAGGGGCATTTAACTAATATTTCATAAACGTATCGTCGTGATTTTGGACTATATCAGTACCATTTTAGGTGTTGGGTAGCTATCTGAACATTGTACTTATTCATGGGCAGGGAAGGAGGACATTTCGGCCATACTGCTGCAGAATTTGTACACCAGAAAGAGGAGAGATTAGAAGCCACTTCAATGGTATTCTCATCTTCATCTGTATATGTAAAATCCTCAAATCCTCAACATGTGTAAACTTTAACATACATTCATATTCCTAAATCGCAGAGGGTTTTAAGCTCGTGACTTCCTTTTATCCTCGTCGATTATTGTTAGCTTAGAGCCTTAGACATTCTAAAATTCTGTTGTAATGATTGTTCGCGATGCTCTTGGTTTACTCTGATAAGCATAATCTTGCTGCATAACATTTCTACTTTATTTTGACCAAGTTACCTTCTAGGATAATATGGATCACTTGCTTATGTTGCAGGTGTATACATGTTATTCTTCTGATAACTCTAGTCATAAGCTATGTGCACTCTGCGGGGTTTTCTTAAAATGTTTTATCTTTAATTATTTCATCATTTTGCACCTACCTGGAAGCTGTGGTATTTTGTATTGGAAATGCTTAAGCCTGATTTTCACAAAAGGAAATGTGGTACCCTTAATTGATGTTTTTTCTTTGTTTCTTTTTTCACTCTCTTATCCATTTTATAAATCTTATTTCTTGGGTGGTGCTGATGTAGATAGTTTCCTTATCTCTCTCTCAGGTTTCTGATAATACTAGTCAATGAACTTGTGATCTTCAGCCTAAATAGAAAGCTGTCTTCTGCTGCCAGGTTATACTTTCATCTCAGAGCAATCAAATCATTAATTTTTAAATCTTTCACGAATCACTTGTCCTAATTCACAAAAGATGCATATAATGTTGTTACTAAATGCAAATAGTTCTTGTGATAAATTTATATACTTTCTTTTCGTGTTATTGAATTATTCTCTCAAATGGAAACTTGTACATCCTGCAGCTGCTACATGGTCACATTAATAAGCAAATGTGTTTCCAAAGGAGATTTTTTGATGCCTTGTGTATCAGATGATCTGTAGGAGTTTTATTATGCTCAATAATGGGAATTCTCCTTAAAGATTTTCAAGGGTCATTGCCATTATACATTCTATTGCTATGTTGTTTGGTGGACATATGCCAAAGTCTCACTTCAGATGGTAATATGTCAACTTTATTCCTTCTTATTTGTTGTTTTCTTTTAAGGATGTAAATGATCATCTTCAAATCATAATCATATATTGATATCAGTATGTTTTCTATGATGCAATCTTTTAAGAATTTTAGAATGTTTTGTGTTAATTGTTTAGGTGAAGCTCTTGTGAACTTCCGGACAAGCATTATTAGTTCAGATGATGTTCTTGGTCAATGGAGACCAGAGGATCCTGATCCATGTGGATGGAAAGGGGTAATATGTGATTCAAAAACAATGAGAGTTATATCTTTGAATGTTTCCAATCACAAGTTAAAGGGACTCATATCACCAGATATTGGAAAGCTAGATCACTTGAAATTCTTGTACGTGATTTTTAAACTCTTTTTAACAAAAAAATTTGCATGCTTAATACTTATACAACTACTGATGCTGTATATGTGACATGCTGTAGAGATCTTCATTACAACAATTTTTATGGAGAAATTCCTCCAGAGTTGGGAAATTGTACAGAGCTGCAAGGATTGTAAGCACAAATTGTTCTAATATGATATGATCGGATTGTGTTCTTGTTTTTTTGAGATATTGATGAACACTTCCTTTTTCTTGTGTTGTTATTATTTTGACAGATTTTTGCAGAATAATTACTTGAGTGGATTTATTCCTACTGGATTGGGAAACCTTTCGAACCTTCAAACATTGTAAGTTTAACTCTTTTATGGTAGCTTTTGAACACTTTTAAGTACAATTATAAAAGCTGTGCATTTTAAATTGTATCATTTGATAACTAATATAGATTTTGTTTCTTGTTGCAGGGATATTTCTAGTAACTCTCTTGATGGAAGAATTCCCACATCACTTGGGAATTTGAGGAACCTTCTAACCCTGTAAGCATGATTATTTAAAAGAGTTAACTTACATTTGATCTTTTTTAAAATATTATTTTCCAACTTTAATTCTTTGTTATCCATGAAGCAATGTCTCATCCAATTTTCTAGCTGGGCCAATCCCAACAGATGGTGTTTTTGACCAATTTGGAAGTAACTCGTGAGTTCTGAATTTAAATTTCCTAATTATCACATATTTTAATATCTAAAAAAAATGAAAATAAAAAAGTGTTGTAAGGCAAAGTTGGTGCTTACTTTTGGTTGGATACCTGCAGGTTTGTTGGAAACAGTGACTTATGTGGGAAGCAAATTAATAAGTTATGCAAAGATGAAGTTGGAAATCAACAGACTACAGGTTTTATTTTCTTCCTTGTAAAAGTTGTTGGTTGACTTTTTTACATTTGACTGATTTATTTTGTTTGTGTAGGGAATCAAAATGTGAAAAAGAATTCTGGAAGGTTACTTATTAGTGCTTCAGCTACTGTTGGTGCATTGCTTCTTGTTGCCCTCATGTGTTTCTGGGGTTGTTTTCTCTATAAAAAACTCGGGAAAAATGATGCAAAAGGGATTGCAAAGGATGTGAGTGGAGGTAAGTAAAGATCGAAATAAGCTTTTAAATAGAATAATAATATGGGCTTTATAATTATTAATAAGAGTATTTTTTTTTTTGGTTATTGATTGGTTCAGGTGCATCGATTGTGATGTTTCATGGAGACTTGCCATATTCATCAAAGGATATAATAAAAAAGCTGGAAGCTTTAAATGACGAGCATATAATTGGTGCTGGAGGATTTGGAACAGTCTACAAGCTTTCAATGGATGATGGAAACGTTTTTGCTTTAAAAAGAATCGTAAAATTAAACGAAGGATTTGATCGTTTTTTTGAGAGAGAGCTTGCAATTCTTGGAAGCATCAAACATAAATACTTGGTGAATTTACGAGGATACTGCAATTCTCCAACTTCAAAACTCTTGCTCTATGACTACTTAGCAGGTGGAAGCCTAGATGAAGCTCTCCATGGTACTAATAATTTTATTTTTTATAATAATTTTGTTGTTGTGAATTGTGATTGAGATTGAGGGAGGAATGATTTGTTATCAGAAAATGGTGATGAACAACTGGCATGGGAGACACGGGTGAAGATAATCATGGGAGCTGCAAAAGGGCTGGCTTACTTGCATCATGACTGTTCCCCTCGAATTATACACCGCGATATAAAATCAAGCAACATTTTGCTTGATGGAAATTTCGAGGCCCGGGTTTCTGATTTTGGACTTGCAAAACTGTTGGAAGATGAAGAATCTCACATCACCACCATTGTTGCAGGAACTTTTGGATACTTGGCTCCGGGTAACAACAAAGTATATATAAGTTTTATTATACCAGTAGTAGATTTAATTTTTGATTTTTGTTTGATGCAGAATACATGCAAAGTGGTAGAGCAACAGAGAAGACGGATGTTTATAGTTTTGGTGTGCTGATGCTTGAAGTTGTAAGTAGAAAGAGGCCCACGGATGCTTCTTTCATAGAGAAAGGGCTTAATATTGTTGGCTGGGTATGTCAGTCATGTCGTCCATCTATTATTGTTTGTGGGAAATTAAAATCGGCAAACATGTTTTTTTTGATATTTTGATTTTTATTTGCAGTTGAATTATTTGGTGACGGAGGATAGGCAGCGTGAGATAATTGATGGAGAGTGTGAGGGGGTGGAGGCGGAGACATCTGATGCTCTGCTGTCGGTTGCAATTCAATGTGTGAGTCCGAGTCCTGAAGATCGGCCCACAATGGACAGAGTCGTCAAAACACTTGAGTCCGAGGTTATGACTCCATGCCCAAGCGACTTCTATGATTCTGCATCCGATTGAAGAACATTTTCTGCAAATTCATTTTCCACGTCATCACCCAATTCCAATCCATTCTTTCATGCAGTAAAGATGAGTACCAATTTTTTTTGGGCTTGTCATATTTACAAATTTACCCCACCACCCCCCTTCCCCTTTCCCTTTTGTGATAATATAACATTTACTTGGTAATTAATTAGCCACATGTGTATAGGTAATAGGATCCTCTTTCTTTCTCGGTGACAATGCCATTTCTGTATAATATGCTCTGTGCTCGCTCATCATATTTATTTAAAATTCAAATGCAACTTTTTCATCAGTAACATTTTATTTCTCATGCAATAATACGTCTTGTGTCTTTTTCATAACATAAGAAATCATGATTGCAAAAACATGTCTAGTGACCAATCGCCCTTTCACAAATATAAGTTAATCACTCACCCTACTTGTACATAATTTTCAATCCTCAAAAAATAATCTTATTATTATTATTATTATTATTAGAATGGCTTACACACAAACCTATTATTCCATTTCTAAATTTATATCTTTTGTCCATAATAGAACTTGAACCCTCATCACAACATTTGAATGAAGGACATTTACGTGTTGATAACATTTTATTTTAATGCCCTTGCTGTTTCCAAGTCAGGGGTTTTATAAGATAACATACAAAGAATATAACCACAATTTTATTTGCCCCAAGTCAAATCTCTATAAACTTTAACATACAAGTTTTTTAACAGTTTAAAAATCTCCAATCCACCCCTTTGTAGGTATACACGTATTTTGTGTCTTATAAGTTAAAAAAACACTTTTGTAACTTGTCCCTTATTTGATTCTAACTTTATAAGATTAACTCTTAAAAGTTAATTATAAATGTACATCTTCTAAAGTACATTCATTCTACATGTAATTTGCCTATATGGTATAAATTCATATTTGTTTATGCATGAGATCTAGACAACCATATTTATCAAACACATGTTTATTTTTAGAAGACTATGAAGCATGTAAACATTTGAAGTTAAGATATATCGTTGTTACACATCTAGAAGCTCAAAATGAACAAATACACACATCCATACATTTGATTAACATCAGTTGACTTTTCAAAATTCAAAATTCTAACACTTAAAAAAAAGATTTCCACACAAACAAAAGGGAAAAAACAACAGAAAAAGATAGATGTGAATATATCAATATGATAGAGGTAAGAGCAAGTAGAAGCTTTATTTGGTTGCCTGTGCAATTATATTGCTTATAGAATTTGCTTCTTCTTTAGCAGCCTCCACCAAAGAATCCTGCAAACACAAAAACCACCAAAACTTCAGCCACTCACAACCCGCCACATGGACATGTGCCACCCGGATTTTATAATCTTACCTGTGCCGCCACTAAACGGGCCACCGTCTTCTTGCTCGATTCCTGAAGCTCTCCTGCTATTAGCACCTCATCCAGTATATAATAAGCCTGCAACAAAACATGACAGAACAGAACAGGTTGTACTACTGTGTTTGACTTTGACTTAGACTGATGTGAATAGGACAAAAACTAAAAGCGAAAACATACCTTGTGAAAATTAAAGATCAGGTCCAGCTCACAAACCTATCATACACAAATTCAAAATTTTATAAAAGAGTTTTCTTACTAAACAACACATTTCCAATATTTCTTACAGATTAGATGGCTTACACTTCCGAAATAGCGATCTAGAATCTCAACATAATGATGAATAATTTCAAGGACTTCCAATTCATTGTCTTCCTGGTTGATGCACATACAGAAGTAGAGACTGGCATATCTGATAAGTTTTTTTTTTATTAAAAAGAAATAAGTTACAAAAAATGAGCTTCTTTAAAAATGGAAACATTGTATTAATTTTAAGGGATACCGTTTATAAACGACTTTAAATCCTCTCCACTCAACAAAGTTGCAAAGCTTGGGACCACGTGTGAGAATCATCCCACTCAGCTCTCGTATTACCTACATAAAGTCCATGAATGTCAACAATATTCTGAAACATAAGAAAAAGTGAAATATATGGATCAAAGAGATGAGAACTTGTTAATTCTTGCAATTGCATACCTTACTTCTTTCTTTCTGGGTATAAGGTGAATACCATTTTGTCAACCTGACTTTTCCTTGTCGGCTTATTAACAAAACAAAATGAATCTGCAACAAAAAATTAGCTATAACATATCACTTCCAAGTTCCAATGCCACAAATGCTCATATCTATACATTTACACCAACTGCATAAATGATAAATCCAAATTCCTGATTTCACAAACTTCTTAATCCTTAATACTCTTGTTACATTTTGATCTGCACTTGCAGAAAACCTTGTTCACAACATGCTAGTCTATGTAAATGTCACTCAATTAAGTCCATGGGATGTATCTCCTCACCACAAGAACCCTAAAAGAGAAATAACACAGTTCTAGTCGTTGTATAGAGTCCCTTTTGTACCACAATTAATGCTCATTCTAGAAAGAAGCATTGTTTCAAAATAATTAGGGTGAAAAAGGCACTATCCTCGTTCCTGAGCACAAAGAAATTCATCCTTGGTCTATGTTCGATTGGGAATTGCAGATAATTGTGAGATGGTTTTTTCTAGATATGTAAGCAACTGATGATAGAAACCCTAATTCAATTAAATGGTCATGAAAACGCAACTAGTAAAAAAGGATTTACAAGTTCTCACCATGGTTCAAACTTCTGCGAGAAAAACCTCGTTTGCCGTCAGATCCGATCGAAAACTCTACTGAAGAAGATGAAATAACCTCGCATTTATTACAAAACTTGCCCAAACTAAAAGAGAGAAAATCTACGTGTATATGAAAATTAGAAATGAAAATTCAATCAGAATTTAACAATTATTTTGAATGATTAAAACATAAAGTGGTCGGGATCAAGAGATAGAGAGGAGATGGAAAGTAAACCTCGAAGAGAGAAAATTGAAGGGTTGGATTTGCCTTGATTGTCGCCGGTGGAACAGAGCACCTCTATACAAAGGGACTTCTATTTTGTTGAACAAAGTGTGAATCTATTTCTTATCAGCTTATTAATTACATGTATTGTATGAGAAAAAATTAAAAACCAAATATAATCAAAATAGTTACGGTGTGTATAGTTCACGAAAAATAATTTATTTTTTAGAAATTTTTATAAGAAAAATAAAATGTAACAGCCCATATTTTTCAATAAAAATGTTCATTTAATTAACAAACTTATATTCATTAATTATAAAATTTCAATCACAATTGTTCTCAAAAATCTAGATCATCAAATAAATTATTCATAATATCAAAATGTCTATAATAAAACGTCGGGAGTGCATGCCGCGCCATCATGCCGAGCTCTGGCCCTTAAATCCCGAAGTACTTGAAACAACTAACAAACTGTAAGCTAATGCTTAGTGAACTTCTGATAGCATATCCCACATAAGTCACATAATCACATATTCAATATAAACCACATAAGTCATACATGTAACATATATGGATGCCATGGAGTCCCTTCATGGTCTTATTCTCGGATGTCGTGGGCTCCCTCCCAGGATCTTATACTTATGTGTCATGGGTTCCCCCATGGTCTTAACTACCTGTCATGGGCTCCCCCCATGGTTTTCATATAACTATCCAACAAGATACTAACACATTCACATATATACATACTAAACATGTCGATGACACATTCTCAATAATTACCACAACTAACTAAATGGGACCCATTGCTATGGTGAGGAAACTCACCTCAAATGCTAATAGTAGTTGAATAGGCCCTGGCTCCGAGTATCTGCTCTACTCAATCCCTAAACATAAACAACTCCTTAAGATTCAACTCAATACTTCAAACCGTAAGAGTCAACATTAGTCAAAGTCAAAGTCAAGATTGACATTTCGAGTTGAATCAACTCATTGAGTTTGGCTATCAACTCGTCAAGTTCCCTTGTTAACTGGCCAGATCGTGAAAAGTCCCACCAACTCGTCGAGTTCACTCATGAACTCGTTGAGTTGGCCAGAAAACCAACTTCTTAATGTATTAAGTCGTTTTCCTTTGAATCCAAAGACTCCAAACCTGCGATCCCTTTCAAAATTGATGTCTAGAAGGGTAAAGTTGTCACACCCCCAAAACCGAACGGCGGAAACGTTCGGGGGCGGAGGACGTCATATTCAGTATCACAACAATTGAATAATAAAGAAAGTACACACCACCATAATATATATTTGAAAAGTTTACATGATTGAATGTATTACATGTTTGAATATCAAATACAATATGGTGATCAACAATATGTTACTAATGCCAGCGCGTTAGTCTTTAAAAGTAGATGCTACCTGGTTTAGCGGCTTCCTGAGAATACAAGTTATTTCAAGAAAAAGTGTCAACAATTAAGTTGGTGAGTTCATAACTAGTGATTTGAGTAAATGTATGCCATTCGAAAGTTCGTGTATGTTATTTAGAAAATCCCTTATTTTCTTAACAAATGAAATGTAGTCTTAAATGAAAAAGACCAAATGAATCGTTGTTTGCATGAAATGAATGTATTAACCAAGAAAATCCCATATTTTCCTAAAAGTGAAAAACAGTCTTAAGTGACCAAGACCGTAAGTTGTAAGCAACTATGACATGCTCAAAAGAATGATGTATAGTCTTATTATAAAACAACACTATAAGAAGATCGTATTTGTAAATGAAAAGTGACTGTAATAGTCACTTTCCCCGTGAAAACATAATACCATAATAATTGTCTGTCTCGTGAGTTTTCATAACAATACTATCATAATTTGCCTGTAGCGATGTTCTTCAGGCGTCGAAATGAGATGACACTTGTCACCCCGAGGACTGTAGTTAACAATCAGGGCGATGGATCATTAGTCCCGTATAGATCTATACACACTTGTCACGTTCTCCGGACGAGAGATTTTGGTTATAAAACAGGACTTCTAGCGGTACCTTAATAGGTATAGTGAAGATGAATGACTCACAGATTCTCAACTAAGTTTGTATTCTTGAAAATGATGATTTTGTATGAAATGATTTCCCTTTTCCACAATATTAACAAAGGCATAATTAAGAGGTGTATGTTCTTGTATGTATAAGAATGGTATACTAAAAATGGTTACCCTTGATATGATGCAAACGTATAAATAAGATTATAGTATTTATAATCATGTTTCATCCCGAGTGGGTAAAGTAGGGTAATATGTTTTGCATGTTAACATATCCATATAATAGTTATTAAAAACAATATGAAATGTATAACGAAAGATAG